CGGTTCACGCCATTCTCCTGCCTCAGCCTCCCGAGTAGCTGGGACTACAGGCGCCCACTGCCTCGCCCGGCTAATTTTTTGTATTTTTTAGTAGAGACGGGGTTTCACCGGGTTAGCCAGGATGGTCTCGATCTCCTGACCTCGTGATCCTCACGTCTCGGCCTCCCAAAGTGCTGGGATTACAGGCTTGAGCCACCGCGCCCGGCCAGGTTCAAGAATAAGAATGTGTATTTACAGTGAGAAAGAAAATGTGAGGCAGGTGCGGTGGTACATGCCATAATCCTGGCTACTCAGGAGGCTAAGGTGGAAGATCACTTGAGGCAAAGGGTTCAAGGCTGGCTTGGGTAAAACAGGGAGAGACCCCTTCTCTTAAAAAAAAAAAGGAAGAAAAGAAAACAAGGCAAAATGTTAACAACTAATACACTAAAGGATGTAAGGGTACTCACTATTATCTTTCAACTTGGAAACTTTCACTTAAAAACTTCCCAAAATTAAAACGAAAGTAGAAAAAGAAGAAGACGAAGGAGGGTTGCCAGTCTCTGACCCAGAAGGCTGAAGCTCCATTTATAACAGAGATGAACAGTTAGATGCAGTCAAGCCAAGGAGATAAAAATTGACTGCAGAGATTTTCTTCAGAATGTGCCAAAGTTCTGTGGGAACAGGAACATTGTGTAATTAAAAAAAAAAAAAAAAAAAAGAGTAGTTTGCCAGAATTTACCCTAGAAGAGTTCATTAGTGCAATTAACAATATAAGCAGGAGGAAATTGTTCCAAGAAGCTTAAAAACACTTGGATTTTTAAATTGAGTGGAAATTTCATATGCACAGTTAATAAAAAATAACCTTAAAAAGAATGAATAACAAAAGTCTCCAGATTCCAGCCTCCTGCTTGATTATGCATTGCTGAAATGCAGGAACATATTCAACTTTTTAATGCAAAAACCCTGTGGCGTTCCATGGTGCACAGCTACAGAGTTCCTCCGGGGCATGGGTTTCGTAGTCACCTCTCTGTGCTGCATTCCCATCTGGTAACTGCGTATTGCAGACGCTGGGACTTAGGGGCTCTTATTTCTGTTCTCTGGATCTCTATGATGGTCAGATATTCTTTGGGCCAGAACTGATGTAAGGAAAAAACTTTGCCTATCTTGTACTCTCAAAGTTACTCTGAAAGGAGGAAAAAAGTATGTTAATTGTTGACCAGCGCACAGCAACATGGTGAGGTAGCAGCAATTGGATTCCATGAGATGATCTTTATGAGACACAAAGCAAGGTTCAGGCTGCTTGGTTAGGTCAACAGAGAATGCCTGTAGTACCCACAGAGACAGCCCTTTCTTAGCTTGGACAAAGATTTCATGATTCTAGGCTTTTGTGGCAGCCACAGATGGCTTTAACACATTATGTATAATGAAACAAAATCAGAGTCATTTAGTTATTCTTTAATCATTATTACATTAAAATACACTAATACATTCTTATCTACTTCCCTCCACCAACAAATATTTTGCTAAATTAAAAGGATCACTGGAAGTATTATGACCCCCTCGTCACAGGTGGTCAGAACCACCACGGTTTTGTGAATGAATCAGAGAAGGCAACATTTCATCAACGAAAACTCATTTAAGTTTCAAAAGGCAGGATGTAGTACAGAATGCATCATTCTGACTGTCTTCTGGAATAGAAAAATTGGAAAGGATGAAAGAAGGAAGTTAGCGCCAGCTCCACCGTTACCTTGGCAACCATGGCACAATCACAGGGGCAGACATTAATTTTGTGGTGTAACATAACATGGCAGAGGAACGGGGATTGTGGAGTGGGGAGAGAATGACGGCTGGGTTTAAATGCTCAGAAGGCCAGTGGGGAGGGTTACAAGTCAGTCGTCTGGATGTTAAATCTACACGTACCAAATAACCAATTTTACTTTTATTTTTTCACTGAAATGTTAGTATTATGTAGAGACAGCCACGACTCCCTGCTCTTTAATAAACAACAAACACTGCAGTAATCATGCCCAAGGCTCCCGCTGATCATTCTTCGTCATTTAGGACTTTTATTATTTCTCTCTTCTGGGAAACAGGAAAGAATATCTTCAACTGAAGAGACAAAGAATGACGGTGGTTATAAAAAATACATTCTGATCAGGTGAACTGGTAACTTGTCAGCTTGACGCTAGTAACCAGTCTCTTCCCTGCAGTTAGAATGTGAAGACCCTGTTTTGGGGCAGAGACAAGCCACCCCATGGAGCGTCCCTGATAAAACTACTTATTAGGGAAATACTATGGATGCCTCGGCAGGGACAGTAGGGGGGTGCGGGGGATGGGGGGTTCAGGTCTCTCAGAGCTCCACAGCCCTGCACAGTGTTAAACTACACACCAGAGCAGGAGCTTTTAGAGACCTGAAAGGAAGGTTTATTGCATAAAAACTTGCTGCACATCCAGAGGTCCAAAATTCACCCGGCACTTAGAAAACCAATCACAGAGAAGTCGGCCAGCTGACAAGACAGATAAGTGGAAAAATACAAACAAGCATCTCAGTCTCAAAACCTGAATTCCAGTAAAGCTTAGGCGGCAGGTCACAGGCAGAACTGTGCCATGTGTGGAAGTGCAGAGGCTTCCTCGTGGACAATTCCCCAGCCAGAACAATTAAGGGGCTGGTCCTTCTTTCACGTTGCGGTCTGCTTGGTCCACAGGTCTGGGCTAGCGGCACTCAGAAGGTTAAGAGCACACAAAGTGAGTGGGGACTGTCTCTCAGGAGTCACTGCTTGCCTCCACCTCTGCTGCTCCTGGGAATAGGTGTGTCATCTAAGCCAGGGTGGTCCACCTCCTGCCCACTCAGGGCTCCAGGAGGAAACAGCTTTCCTTTCTTCCAAAGGGTGAGGTGAAGCATTAGTGACACATCCTGCTCGTCATCTCTTTCTGGAAAGCAAGGGGAAAAGGATGGTTAGGAGAAACTAAAAGCAGAGCAACGATTTGATGAAGGATCCTGAAAATGCTCTTGGAACCTCGAGAGCCTGTAAATGAAAGGTTGCAAGCACGGTCCATGAATAAGGCTTAGCATGAGGATATGTTCTGTTTGGTCTGCAGAATTTTTTTTTTTTTTTCCATTAAGGCACTGTTTAAAAATTTGACTCTTGTATCAAAATTCAGGTTGCTTGCTTTTTCTGAGAACAAGATTTTGGAGCTTCTGAACAACTGGAGTTGAAGAATGGTTGTCCTCTTCAGCAGGAGAATTTGCTTTCCAGTTTGCCCCAGTCCCCGCCACTCCCACCTGACTTCCCGACAGGAGCCATGGAGCACTTATGAACTGATACAGTAATTGGATTGGGACTGCTAGTTTTCTTCGAGTAGGGAAAGATTTCTTTTAAGTTTCAATCAAAGATGGAAAAATAAAGGATACGTGGGTATAAGTCAAGAAAAGCAGGAAGGAGGACTTTTTTTTTTTTTTTTTTTGAGACGGTGGCTCGCTCTGTCGCCAGGCTGGAGTGCAGTGGCCGGATCTCAGCTCACTGCAAGCTCCGCCTCCCGGGTTCACGCCATTCTCCTGCCTCAGCCTCCCGAGTAGCTGGGACTACAGGCGCCCACAACCGCGCCCGGCTAATTTTTTGTATTTTTAGTAGAGACGGGATTTCACCATGCTAGCAAGGATGGTCTCGATCTCCTGACCTCGTGATCTGCCCGTCTCAGCCTCCCAAAGTGCTGGGATTACAGGTGTGAGCCACCGTGCCCAGCCGACATTTTTTTTTTTAAATAGAAATGAATAATACACCAAAGTGTCTGACATGCATCACCTGCCTGGCTCTTGTGGGTATTTATAGATTCCGAATGAGCCATCCTTTCTCTTCCCCTGGGGCTCTGCACAGGTTGAGTCTCACGCCTATGGTCTGCTGCTACCACATCCTGCGCCTGCCCCTCTTCATTTGTCAAATTGCCATTCATTTTTCCACCTCAGGTAAGGTGACTTCTATCTGCTGGGATACCTTCCTGCACTCCTGCCCCACTCGCTGTGGAGGCAGCTACTCTCTCCTCCTGTGCACACGTTGATTCTTACATGCAGTGTATGAATTTGTACATCTGTGTGTGTGTGTGTGCTGGGGCTCTGGGCATGTCTGTTGGCCCTGCTAGACTGAGAGCTACTAAGTGCCAGGAAAAAGCAGCACTCATTGACTCACCCCATGTGCTTTCATCTTTGTATCCCCCGCCCCTGGCACTGTGCCAGGGTAGTGGCTCCTCTTTCATCTCCGAGGATGGTCTGAGGAGCAGGCTAGTAATAAGCCCTGTGCCATTTAGCATCTTGAGAAGACAAGTTTAATGTCATTTTAATTAGACGAATGATCTCCTTCCAAGTTCCACCTGCTGCAGAGCTGACTGCAGCTGCTACATCTCTTGCATACTGACCTGGACTGCCATACCTGATATAATAGGAAACATTAAGAAAAAGGAGCCTGAGCGTGGGAGTGCCCAGGTGTTCAGAGAAGCTTCCTATTCGAAAACCATACAGATGTGCTGGTTAAAGAAATAACAATAGACAAGGAAGAATCTAGGCACTTTTGCATCTCTGTAATTATTAAATACAGGCAGTTATATATATATGTGTATATATAATTTTAACAACTTTTTCAATTTTTTATTTTTTTGATAGGGTCTTGCTGTTGCCCAGGCTGCAGTGCAGTGGCAACAGCTCACTGCAGCCTCAACCACTCGGGCTGAAGCTATACACTCACCTCAGACTCCTGAGTAGCTGGGACTATAGGCACACGCCACCACGCCTGGCTAGTTTTTAAATTTGTTGTATAGACAGGACTTCATCATGTTGCCCTACTTGGTCTCAGACTCCCAAGCTCAAGCCATCCACCCATCTTGGCCTCCCAAAGTGCTAGGATTACAGGCGTGAACCATTGCACCTGGCTTTTGACTTAATTTTGATGACAGAGATGAGGAAAACAAGACGGAAATGCAACAAGTGCATGCGTGTGTATGTTTGAGAGAGAGAGATAAGAGAGGGACAGAAAGAGAAGGAGGGAGAAAGTGTGTTCATGGAATAAACAGAATTTTAGCTTTATTAACTTAATTATTTGTAATAGGTCAGTACTTTTGGAGAGAAAGAAGCTAGCAAATGTTAAGTACCTATAAAATGCCAGGTCCTTTGGGGTGGTTATACCATTGTGTCTGTGTAACTCTAAGACAGGGAACTATGACCTCCACTGGACAGAGGAAGAATCCCAGTTTCAGAGCCAAAGCTATTTGCTCAAGGTAAATGGGTAAGGTACAGAATGCTCAGCAGTAACTGCTGCTTTTATTAAACAGAGGCTTGCTGTTTGCCAGTTCCAGTGTCTACTGCTCTACAGACATTATACTTTGTGAAGTAAGATTTGCCATCTCTACTGTACTGATGAGGAAAAACCCTCAGGAAAGGAGGGTACCTTACCAGGTCACACAGGAAGTTGCAGGCCTAGGGTTTAAACTCAGGTCTATCTGACTGCAAAGGCTGGCTCTTTCTACTACACCATGTGATTATAGGTAAAAGCCTCTAAGATATTCTTATGAATATGCAATCGGATAATACTGACATATATTAACTGACATATATAATTATAGGTGGTTGCAGTCGTTCATGAATTTTCAAAATGCCACAGATTTTTTTCTTTATCCAGACTGACGCCAGTTAGAATTATAGGCACAATGGGCAAATACCAGAACAATTATGCCACTGAGAGACTATGGACACTAGAAATATGGAAGAGTCTTTTTTTTTTTTTTTTTTTTTTAGCAGCAGAGTAACAGTTTCAGAGAGGACAGGGGACTTATTCAAAGTCACTGGGATGCAGGATAAAAACTGTTTCCTGGGATGCCTCTTAAACTCATAAAGGGAATGTATGGTTGAAATAGCAGATCAGAAACTTCAGGAAAGACATTTGAGTTGGATCCATCCTTCAAAGCTCTACAAGACTCTGCAAGCTGTATTCTAGCACTTGCCCACTTGGTGGAGCCAATGAGCTGTTTAAAAAAAAAAAAAAACCAACTCGTTTAAATAAACAAATAGCCAATGCTAGGTTCCATCGCTTTCTTCATGGGAGCCCTGCCGCAGGCATCTAGCAGGGACAAACGAATTCTTCCCCTCTAGAGTGTGGCCAAAGTAACCTCTACCCAGGGTGCTCTTTACAATGAATTTGCCATTGCTGGAGTTACTGAATGCCCTACGTATTAAGGCAGGCCACTAAAGAACTCCAAAACGTGTATTAAAAGGCTTCCGCAGAGGTGATGAGAATCTCCTGAGAAAGTTCCTGGAGACTGTGCTTGGCTTGTATATGAAGATTTTTTTAAACACCTGAATTTTTCAAAATGTGTTCTTAACAGAAGAGTAAAGTAGAATCTCGGTTGTGGTCACTCAGTTTCATTTGTTTTAAAATAAAGCAGTAATTGATTCTATGAAGTCCCTCGTTCTCCACTGTCAACAAAACAAATTTCATCCTCTGAAGCCTGTCAAAGAAAGAGGACCCACCACCCACTGCTCACCTCCTGCTGAATTCCCTCCCACACACCGCATCAGCCAGGCAAAGCAGACTTCCCAGGTCTCCAACTGGCCAGTTTCTAGTGGTTTCTTATATCTGGTAAATGTTTTCTGCCCTTCTCTCCCTGGCAAAATTTGACATCCTTTAAGATGCAATTTTCAGCTCCTTTCTTGGGTATCTCCATCACTTTGCACACATTTGCATTACATCACATTGGAATTCGTCATTTCAGTTTTGCCTGAATCTGAGAAGAACCATAAAGTTTTTTAGTATATTAATGTATGATGAATATTTTATTTAAATTGCATAACAGGATGTATGGTTTGGTCCAGTTATTTTGAGAAAAAATATAAACAAAAATATGGGTCCAATATGATAAATTTATCTTTGGGTGAATACAATTGTGTATGTTTTCTATTTCTAATTTTTTTGTCCTTTGCATAGTCTGAATTTTTAGATATTTTTGATATCCATGAATTTTTTTCCAAGAAAACAAGACCGGTTATTTAAAAAACAAAAAGGAAAGTAGACAGAGACTCCAAACTGAAATCATATTTCACTTTAGAAATGAAGTTAAAATGGCATTTGCCTAGTTTTTGTGGGGATGGTGGAGGTGGATGAAATCAGCCTGTTTTTTACATAAGATACTCAATTTTTTCTGTTCTGATGTAAACATTTTTTAAATTTAAATCTTCTTCATGCACTTGTTAGCAATTGGAAGAAGTTTTTGATAGCCATTGAACAAACTTCCGTGAACTCTGAGAGTCAAATCTTACTCTGATCTCAGTGTACCCATTTTTATAAGCGGTAGTTAGTGGAGGGGTAGGTAATAATGATTCAGAGAAGTAAAATGACTTATTCCAAGTCACACAAATACTCTCTGACTTAGGCAAGACTACAACGAAATCAGTGCTCTCAGTTTACTGTACTACATCATCACACATTTTAGTAATCTAATTTTCTTTTATTTTGTTGAGACAGAGTCTCACTCTGTCGCCCAGGCTGGAGTGCAGTGGTGCCATCTCAGCTCACTGCAAGCTCTGCCTCCTGGGTTCAAGCAATTCTCCTGCCTCAGCCTCCAAAGTAGCAGGGACTACAGGTGCCCGCCACTATGCCCGGCTAATTTTTTGTATTTTTAGTAGAGACGGGATTTCACTGTGTTAGCCAGGATGGTCTCAATCTCCTGACCTCATGATGAGCCTGCCTCAGCCTCCCAAAGTGCTGGGATTACAGGCGTGAGCCACCGCGCCTGGCCCAAGAAGCTAATTTTCATGTGGAACATATAAAGAACACCACTTGATGTTTACTAGGGGTCAGTCATCATGCTTGCACAGCAATTTTAATAAGTTAACTCTAGGTATTATGAAACAAGCGCCAAAAAGCAATGACATCATCACAGAGTCATAG